CGCATACGGGGACATACCTCAAATAGTAAAAGCCATCTATGAGAAACCCACAGCCAGCATACTCCTAAATGGACAAAAATTGGAACCAATTCCCCTGAAAACTGGAACTAGACAAGGATGCCCACTCTCTCCCCTCCTGTTCAACATAGTATTGGAAGTCCTGGCTAAAGCAATCAGAGAAGAGGAGGCAATCAGAGGTATTCAAATAGGAAAAGAGGAAGTCAAGTTATCTCTCTATGCAGATGATATGATGGTGTACCTTGAAAACCCAAGAGAATCTGTCAAAGGCCTCCTTACATTGATAAAAGCCTTTGGCAAAGTCTCAGGATACAAAATAAATGTACAAAAGACAATCGCATTTCTCTACACCAATAATAAACAAACAGAAACCCAAATAAAAAACACAGTTCCATTCACAATAGCCACAAAAAAAATGAAATACCTTGGCATCTTCCTAACCAGAGACGTGAAAGACCTTTACAATGAAAATTACAAAACACTGCTCAAAGAAATCAAAGCCGACATGAACAAGTGGAAAAATATCCCATGCTCATGGATCGGAAGAATCAACATTGTGAAGATGTCCATCTTACCTAAGGCAATCTACAAATTCAATGCAATACCCATTAAATTACCAACAACATTCTTCTCAGACCTAGAAAAAACAACACAGGAATTCATATGGAAACACAAACGTCCAAGAATAGCCAGAACAATCCTCAGCAAAAAAAACAAAGCAGGTGGTATCACAATACCAGATTTCAAACTTTACTATAAAGCTACATCATCAAAACAGCTTGGTATTGGTACAGGAACAGGCATATAGATCATGGAACAGAATTGAGATTCCAGAAGCAAAACCTCAATTTCTCAACCAACTCATCTTCGACAAAGCCCCCACCACCTACCAATGGGGAGAGGAGAACCTATTCAGTAAATGGTGCTGGGAAAATTGGCTGACCACATGCAGAAGATTGAAACAGGACCCCTATCTATCCCCATGCACAAAGATTAACTACAAATGGATCAGAGACCTAAATGTAAAACCTCAAACCATAAGAACCTTAGAAAAGGAAGGAAATGCTCTCATGGAAATCGGAACTGGCATCCAATTCCTGTACAAAACCCGAAACCCACAGGACTTAAGAGAGAAGATAGACAAATGGGACCTTATTAAACTGACAAGCTTCTGCAAAGCCAAAGAAACCATCAAGAGAGCAGGGTGACAGTCTACAGACTGGGAAAAAGTATTTGCCAACTCTAGGTCTGACAAAGGCTTAACATCGTGGATTTACAAGGAACTGAAACGTACTGAAAAGAAGAAAACAAACAACCCCATTATAAAATGGGCAAAAGATATGAACAGACACTTCACAAAAGAAGACATTTGAGCAGCCAACAAACACATGAAGAAATGCTCAACCTCACTAATCATCAGGGAGATGCAAATCAGAACCACACTGAGATACCACCTAACTCTAGTCAGAATGGCAATTATCAACAACTCAAAAAATAACAGCTGGTGGAGAGGGTGTGGTGAAAAGGGAACACTTCTAAACTGTTGGTGGGAGTGTAAACTAGTGCAACCTCTGTGGAAAGCAGTGTGGCGATTCCTAAAAGCTCTAAAAATTGACCTTCCATATGACCCTGCAATCCCCCTACTGGGAATATACCCTGAAGAACAGAAATCACTCTATAAAAAAGATACCTGCACACGTATGTTTATCGCAGCGTTGTTCACAATAGCAAGAACCTGGAAACAACCATGCTGCCCATCAAAAGAGAACTGGATTAAAAAATGTGGTACATATATACGATGGAATACTACGCAGCCATAAAAAAGAACAAAATCATGAATTTCACTGCAACCTGGATGGAACTAGAGTCTATAATACTGAGTGACCTCTCACAGAAACAAAGATCCGAATATCACATGTTCTCACTCATATAATGGACCTTGAACATCCAATGCAATACTATAAGAAAATGACTGATGGTACTGGGAAACTATGGTGGGGAGGGGGATGGGATTAACAGTAGCAAATATCTGTCGGGGGATGGGAAAACACCTCTTATCAACAGAGTGCCTGAATGAAACGTAATTGTACACCTAACCCTTAACTGTACCCCACAAAACCATAATAAAAAATACTGATTAATGAAAAAAATAAAAAAATTAAAAAAAATAAAAATAAATATATAAAAAAAGATTTTACATACTAAATATATCTTGTTTGAACAAATCATTGTGGAATTATTCTTTTTAAATATACCACTAGGCAGTATATATTTTTCCAGACATTATTTTTTCAAAGATTTGGTAGAATCTGTTTTTTTTGTTTGTTTGTTTTTTGTTTTTTTTTTTGAGTTGGAGTCTCACAGTGTCGCCCAGACTGAAGTGCAGTGGCCGCTTCCTGCCACCGCAGCCTCGACCTGCTGTGCTCCAGCGATCCTTCCACCTCAACCTTCCAAGTAGCTGGAATTACAGGCATGTGTTACCACGCCCGGCTAATTTTTTGATTTATTGTAGAGATGAGGTCTCGCTGCTCAGGCGGGTCTCGAACCCGCGGGCTTAGGCAATCCACTCACCTCAGCCTCCCAAAGGCGCGGGATTACAGGCTGAGCCACTGAGCCCGCCTAGAATCTGTTTTTATATTCCTGTCTATACAGTGTGGTCAAAATGTCTGGTAATATAAGTACCCACAAAAGGAAATACAGGAAAGATACTTTTCTAAATTACCTACAGTAAAATTAGACATGTTTCCAAAGAGATGTTATTTCTATTTTAGGAGATGGCCATTTTTGGTGAAAACATTACTGACCTATGTCTTCTCTGAAGATTAGGTGAGGGAGGACTACTACTTTGCTGTTTGACAAAGGTGGCATTCAGCAAATATTTGTTGATTTACTGAGTGGCTTACTGAGGGCACGCTAAAAACTGTTTCCCAGACATGACCTGAGTGATATTTTGTACGGAGACCTGTGATGTCATAAAAATTTTCCATGTTTAGAATTTCTCTTCTGGGTTAAAATATTTTAGCAAAAATGTAGTTATAAGTTTTATTCTTAATAGGTTGCTGTTGCCAACTCACGTGTACTTATTAAAGAATATTTTATCAAATTATTTATATATCACCAAACAGGGCTTATAATTGAATGAGGCATGAAGAATTTGATGGATAACAAGAAAGAAATATTAATCACACTAAATAATCCAGCTTGCCTTGATGTCTTTGCAAAATTCATGGTGCTATGATAGTCGAATTCAGGGTCTAATCATATACCAAATATGCAATAGTCTTGTCACCATTTGTCTTCCACATGTTAATAGCAGCTTTAATAACTTTTTATTGCCTCATAGATTGTCCGATGAGACTTTCTTAAGTCAGTGCTGTTGCATTATCATCAGCTAGGCAAACTAATTTATAATTAAACTCCCCCTGTAAGATATCACGTATGAAATTTTATACTTCTTAGAATTCATGTTATTAATTAGAATATCCATACATTTCTAAATTTTAATAGTTTTTTAAAAGGTATTTTAGAAATGGATTGACATAAATTATTTTTATTAAATTTGTTATATAATTTTCTGAAAAATTTTATTTCTATAAATAATTCCAAGAAAAAGGAAAATCATGCCATCTAATGGCTAATTGCTTGATTATTTTATTCCTACATTACATGCTGTTTTACTTACAGCTATGGATTTTACACCATAAGTTACATCTCAAGTCTGTATGTAATATGAGTGGAGAAACAGAAGCTAACAACATTCTAAATAATTTTCCAAATACACAGTTTCTGATATAGCAGTCGTGTTGAAGGGCTGAGCTTTAGGTCTAAACAAGGTGTATAAGAACTACAAATTTTGTGTTTATAAAAACTTATTAAACACATCTAATTATATTACCTATTCAAATATAGTAAAGATTAAATCACTTACTTTGATAACTACGGGCTCTCTTGTACTAAAGCATGGACCTAGTGTTAT